TAAACCCTAAACCCTGAACCTGGGTCTTGGGTTACGGGCTGGGGAGTCATTGACGCTGGAGGGCTGGAGCATCTGCAGAGCGAACGGGGCCTTTGCAACCCCTGAAGCGCTCAGAGGCCCTGATGTAGTTCAGGGTTTAGGGTTTAGNNGTTTAGGGTTCAGGGTTCAGAGAGACCTCGTTCAAAAAAGGGTTCAGGGTTTAGGGTTCAGGGTTTAAGGTTTAGGGTTCGGGGTTTAGGGATAGGAGCCATAGTGATCAGAAGATGGCCGCTGTTGAGTAGAATACACCCCCCAAGATACCCCATGGCATCCTGTTCTGGTTCTCAGGGCTCCTCTGCTAAACCTCATCGGGCTTATTCCTCCCGTGCTCGCTGGAGGCTCATTGCCGCCCCTATGCTCAACAGCACCTCGACTGGGGGGCGGGTTGGGGTTGAGGGCTCAAATTGTGGAGTTTAGGGTCGGGTGTTATAGGGTGCAGTTTAGGTTCTGAGATGACAAAATCGTAGCGAATGTTGGCGTTGTTTCGTGCAGACAACTGGCTGCTTCAAAGGGCACGTAAAGAACGGGGACGTCCCTCTGCACAAGAAAGCGGAAGCGGACGTACCGGATGTCCTAGTTGTCAGAATCTAGAGGACAAGTGGTCGCAATTGGCACTTCGGGATCAGCTCAGGTGGCGGAGACCAGGACCAGTCCCTGATGCGGCTGGTGCGTGCAGCTCGGCGGACAAGATTGAGGCCTCTGTCAGCCCCTAAACGGGTAGTTCACACAATTAGGTTCCTTCTTAGGGTCCTTCTTATACCACCTTGAAGCATCCATGCTACCAGCCCATCTACTGTCGCCGCATCCATGCCCGCACGATAATAAGGTCCATGCTACCAGCACATTCGCTGTCGCCGCATTCATGCCGACACGACGGTAATGTCCATGCTACCGGCATATGTACTGTCCCCGCATAGTACTAACTTCCATGTTACCAGCACATCCACGTCGCCTCATTCATGTCGGCACGATGATACCGTCCATGTTACCATCAAATGTCACTGTCGCCGCATCTATGCGCGCACGATGATATCGTCCATGCCGCATCCATGCCTGCACGATGATAACATCCATTCCACCAGCATATCCACTGTCGCCTCATCTATGCCGGCAAGATGATGAAGACTGTCCGAATCGTGGCTGGGTCAGCAGACGGACAAAAATGTTGACTGTTTTCACAAGAACATATCCTAAGACGATGTGTGGAATATAGTGGCGCGACCGTCAGAATCATCTCTCGCGCCAAACTTGGCGCGCGTGAACAGACGACTGGCGCGTTCTTATAAGGGACCTTCGTAGCGACCTTAATTTAGAGAACTACCCAAGCAAGCTTTCCGAATCTTTGAGGGCATCCTGTTGCGTGGCAGTGAAGGCATGGCGTGAGCTTTGCTGAAACTTCGTAGCATCGATGTCTGCAGGTGTCTTCGAGCTTTGGGCGTGTTCGGTCTTTCCCGACAACCTCCGGCTGCCTTCGAAGCCTTGACAGTGCTAGGATTTCAACGTCTAGCCTATGTATTTCGTGAACGTGATTCCGGGCATCAGGTTCCAGGAACTCGCTTGCTTTAGGTTCGGAGATGGTCCGCGGCCTATGGACAAAAAGGAGAAACCCAGACATCGAGCAACACGAGAAGTTGATCCCACTTGTACGGTACTCTGACGCTGTAAACTTCAAGCATCTGCTCACATCATAGACCTGGACCTACTCCCTTGGACGCACAACAAGCCCCAGAGCCCACAAGGTCATCAAGTCGCTCCGGTCGCTGCGCATGCTTCGAAGTTTCAGCGCCTTGCCTTCGCATGTAGGTGGTGCCTTAAACTTGGTAACTTAGAGTTGGAGTTGAGGGTGAGAGTTTAGGGAGTCTGTGCCCGGTTTTAGGTTGTAGAATGTGCCTTTGCAATACGGATTCAACGGATTCCTCATTCCGTACATGGAGTCTACATGATTCTTCCTGTATAATCAAAAGCCCCCTATGCCCCGAGAGCGCAGCACACCTTAAACAAACAGATAAGTAGTGGATATAGCCTATAAGTCAGGACATGAAGGCATCCGCAATGTATGGCATAGCTTATCGGGCTCTTTGGGCGAAGGTTCTGTCGTAGTTTCACTACTACATGAATTTTTGTTGGACCTTTCGGCTCTTCGACAGTACTGCTGCAGCTCTTTCTACGGCGGGTTCAGGGTTCCAAAAACCCGTTCGGGCCAACAACGGCCCTGAGCTGTAAGCCACTAAACTTCGAGCACGTTGTGCCAAAAGCCTTGTTTTGCATTGTCTGAGTCTCAGCGTCTAATTCAGACTGAACGAAGATTCCCAAAGAACTCAGGGACTGTGCCCTCTACAGAGCTTTTTTCGAACAACTACAAACCTCTTGTGATGGTTTAACGGCCTCATGTCAGAAGAACGCCCAATTCCTGACGTCACCGCGCCCCAAGCTTTCAGGGACGGGTTGCCGCCTTTTCGCTTAGCGCTCTTTCGCATCGTAGGTTTTCGTTGTCACCAGACCGGAGCCCCCCTAGCCCTGTAGGGTTTAGGGTCCTAAAGTTTAGGGCTATAAGCACCCAGCTTCCGAGCAGCGAGAGGTGGAAAAACCTGAGCGTCCAAGCCCTAAACCCTGAACCTTAAACCCTAAACCCTAACCCTACATGCCTAAAGCGAGGATTTGTGCGGGGCCTCCGCTTACTCGTCATGGCCTGTCAGTGCTTCCTCCCCTCTCTCTGCGATGCCGGCTCCGTTGTTCCGAAAAGCAAGTGGTGGTGATTTATGTACGGCTTCTATTGAAGACATGGGGCTTTTGGGTTTAGGGTTTTGTGGGTTCGGGCTACAGGAATCTTCCTGTCCCATGTTCCACGGCGACCCAGTCAGCGGGTAGTATAGAAACCTAAATAATTACCGGATCATTCCTTTAGGGTTCCTTGTTATATTTATATCATACGGGAGCCCAAAACCCTACTGTTCTGATGATTAAGTCCCCTACAGTAGGTTCCGCTTGGAGGTCTTGAGGCCCCAAGTTCCAGGTGAACTTGTTTACTAAATGCCCAGCTCTTACTCCTAGAGACTCCACAACCCCCTTAGTGAAGGAGTATACACTTATTTGTGTGATCCTATGATACTTTGGAGGTATATTCCTTAATTGAGGGGTTTTGGAGCCTCTAAGCCCCAGGGTTCGAGCCTTTCGACGTTAACCCTGAAAACTCAAGGCCGCTGTGGATTTCAGAGCTACTGTGTATTGGCAGCTTCGAAACATGGGCGAATCTTACCATCGACTCTGCGACTCTGCGCGTGCGAGTCATGGTTTTGAACCGATATGGGGATCGGACGGTATCCGCTTATCGTCCTCATATATTATATAGTTTAATCATATCGTAGTTATACGATACCATCCCCCAAAAACCTGTCCTGATTTTAAGCAACAACGCCCCTGTGTTACGTTGATGGCATGAATCTCGACCCTTTTTGCCGGTCCTTCCTGGGTTCACAGCCTCTCCCAAGCAGCTGTCGGGCTTCCGGTAAGGGGAGCCCTACGCCCTAAACTCTGAACCTAAAACCCGAAACCCTTAACCCTTAAACCCTAGGCCCTAAACCCTACACCCTAAACCCAAAGCTCTAACTCCGAGCACGCTGGGGGGCCATGTTTGGCCAGGCTGGTCTATGGTGCTGCTGGGAATTTTCATGTCTATGGGCGGACTGGCCTTGGGCAACCTCTTGATGGACCTTAGCTTCTGGATTAGCGAATGTACTGTAAGATTTTGGAATATACTATACCATACGATACGATAAGGTACTATACTATACTATACGATACGATACGATACTATACTATACTATAACATACCGTACTAGAGCCCGTTTCCAGCGAAACCCCCCTTTTGAGGGCCTCCTCCTTGTGCTGGAGCTTTGCTTGCCACTCTATATTCTGCTTGGGAGCAGGCCGTCTAAGGTTGGGTTTTCTGGGCTGTTATAGTATAGTATAGTATCGTATCGCATAGTATAATGTAGTCTGCCATAGCTTTCAGACTTCTTGCAGCGTCTTCGTCTCACTCAGGAGTTTGTGATGGATGATGCGGCGAGTCTCGAAGACAGGCTTCTGCCGTGTCTGCATATCATGTCGTGATGTCTCCTCAGTAGAAGTGCGGATGCCTTAGTTAGTGAGCCGGAGGGAGGGCTCTCCTTCCTATGTTAAGCAAGCCCCGAAAGCTCGCTGGCTTGCCCTGCCTTCCTGATGTTCGTTTTGGGAGAGTTGCAGCTTGCGGGCCGGGCCGTGCGACGGTCAGGCAGTGGATCTGGCTGCGATATGGCACTGCCTACCGTGCGCTCTACACGCTCTATGAGATTACGTTTGCAGGACCGGGCAAAGGTGTCAATTCATTCAACTGCCGGGTCGCGATGGTGGTGATGATGGTGTTGACGCAATGCAGCCCCTAAGCAAAATTCAACAGAACAGGTTGCAATAGTTGGTTTGTGGTCGTAGTTGTATCTGTAGTAGTCGTCGTCGTCATCGTGGTGGCCGTCATCGCGGTCGTCGTCATCGTGGAGCCGCAGTCGCAGTCTCAGTCGCAGTTGCAGTCACAGCAGCAGCAGCAGCAGCAGCAGCAGCAGAAGCAGGAGTAGTGGTAGTGGTGGTGGTACTGGTAGGTAATGGCAGTAATAGTAGTAGTCGTCGTCGTCGTCGTGTCGTGGTCGTGGTCTTCGTGGTCAGGGGTGGTTGTAGTTGTGGTCGTGGTTGTGGTTACTGGTTGGTGGTGGTTGCGGTTCTTGTGGCTCTTGCGGTTCTTGTTCTTCTTGTTGTGGTTGCGGTTGTGGGTTGTGGGTTGTGGGTTTTTGGTTGTCGGTTGTTTGGTTTTGGATTTGGGTTTTTGGGTTTTGGGTTGTTGGGTTGTTGGGTTGTGGTTGCTGTTGTTGTTGTTGTCGTTGTTGTTGTTGCTGCTTCGGATAAGGTTCCTGTTTTGGGTTCCGTTTTGGTAT